GGAAACCTCTATCTAACTCACGGCTGTATAGTACAGAGTCCATGGCTGAGGGTCCCTCTTGGGAAACCAGAGAAACACCTATAGTCAGCTTCTTCCAGGTCTGACAGTAGCCACTGGCATCCTTGCTTCTCTTTTCCAGAGTTTGTTTTGGGACCTAGTTTCCTTTTACCAAGTTCAAATAATAAAAGGAGAATGAAGTTTGCAATTTAAGATAAGCAATTTGCTAGAACTTAGAAACTAAAAGCATGAGTGTGGGGAAAATGGCAGAGTTTCTTTCTCTTCCTAATTAGGTGTTTATTAATATTGGAAGCCTCAAAAGGGAAAGCAGGGCACGTTGGGGTAGAGTGGGTTTGACTGCCAGTAAAGAAGGGCCTTGTGGGTGTGAACTTTATGAACACCTTTAAAAGCAGTTGGCAGGAATCTTCTCTTCATACAGACTGCCTCCTCCATACTGCCTGCTTATCAGTAAGAGCCTCTGGGAGAGGACGTAGGGAACTGAGTTAATGCTTCAACATCCAGTACTCTAGAAATATGTCTGGACTTAGAGCTCAGATGTTGGTTTCTCTCAAGGCTCTATAAAATGAGTGAGTGAGTGTGTGTGTGTGTGTGTGTGTGTGTGTGTGTGTGTGTGTGTGTGTATGAAGGAGACAAGTATTCCCTACTTCCACTTTACCTGCTGTCCTGAGTGCCACTAATGTTGAACAAGTCAGATTCATCTTAGACTCGTTTTTTTTGACCATGGTGTCACTATCTTTAGAATGATAACACAATTTAGTTAAATCTAAGGGCTTTGGGCAGGAATACTCCCATCTTAAATTTAAGAACAATTCTTAGCGACACTGCTTCTTTTCTTCTTTATGTCTCCTGTCTCACTCTTTTAGGGGTCCTCCCCTGGCTTCTTAAAGCCATCATTTTACTTAAATGTGTCAAGGAGGAAAGGGATATATTACAATTAACTCGGAGTACAAAGTTAATATATTAAGGTTAGGTGATATACGTCAGGGATGCTTTTTCTCACACACCTAGGAGGGAGGCATCTCGTGCCATTGTGGCCGTGCTCATCCTACTGAACACACATGCTAGCTCTATGCCCAACATTCACTCTACAAAAGGGAGAGGAGCTCTTCTCTAAAGGCATTCATTTCTCAAAGGGCCTTTTAGTTTTTCAAATCTGGCCTAAATTTGGATTAATGATCTGGGCAGAGGGACTCTGGTAACCATTTATCATTGGTGGTTTCAGAAAGTTTAAATGCACATTAGAAATGTCAACTGGAGCAGAGGTCTTCATAGTGTTTATCCTGAGAGGAACATGTCCTAAATTCTTTTACCTGTTTCCATCAATAATGAAACTATAGGACAATCTCTGGTTAAGTGTGTGTGCTGTGTGTGTGTGTTTCTATTATGTGCTTTTTGTATGTTTTTACGTTTTTTTAATCAGAACATTAAAGTATTTACACAGACTTAGGTTATTAGATGACAGGCTCTTAAGTAGTTTAACAGTTGCTTGGATATTCCCAGACTCCATAAGCTCAAATGGGAACATTACAGTTAGAATCACAAAAATCACTGATGTCACAGTAGAACTCTGTCCAGTACTTGAGTGTTTGTTAGGGACCTGTGGAGACAAACAGTTTTCTTTGGGCCGTGGGAAAGCATTAATGGTGTATTCCATTGCTCTTCCCCTGGGTACTTGGGACTTTGTCCAGCCCACAGCTCACCCAACTCTATCCATTAAGCTGATAAGGCAGGTAAAGTGTTCCTTATGGTCAGGTTTTAATTAGGGAAAAAATAATCATGGATAATATGTCAGGATTGTAATCATGCACCCATAAATACTTTCATTACCTCTAGTTGGTGAGATAAAAGAAAGGGGTTTTCATGCTGAATCCCTGATCATAGGCATGCTTTTGATTGTTCCCTTTCTCTCCTCTCGCTTAATTAGGGATCTGAAAGTCCAGCTGGGTCTTTTCTGCTTTTAACACTCACCCTGGTCATAAATTCTGAGCAAATGAAACTCAGAGGACAGCTTCTGCTGATGTCATGTGAGGCAAAACAGAAAGCAGCTGGAATTGCTCCTGGCAGTTTTGACTCTGAAACTAGCAAGAGAATCAGGTTTGTTATTAGAAGGAAAATACTAACAGGAGGCATTTTAGTTTTTCAATCCTCCATGTGGCCAGTTGGTGATCATATCAGAAATGTGTTTTCTGAAGAGCTAATGACGTATGAAGTAAAAGTGGATTTAAAAAGAACAGATAAAATTAACAGGATACAAAAACAAAAGATGGAAAGAAAAGAGTTTCACCAGTCAGTAAGGCGGCGACCAGTGTTTCTGGGTAAAAGACATCATAGCTGTCAGTAATCCCTTTTCCAGTGATGTTTTTTTCCATCAAACTCTGCTGATGTTATCCATACAGCTCGTGATTCAACTAATATGTATTAAGGCTTAGCATTGTTAAGTTACTCAAATATGGCTGAGAATGTTTATGTCCAACTGGCTTCAACTAAGCTAGCATGCTCAAACTGAGAGCAGGTTCGCATTTCAAGAAAGAGTGCAGGCCTCTCAGCTCATCTCTGCAGTTTTTTAGTAGTCTGATGCCTCAATCATAAGTTATTGTAAACTTTTGTTGCTTTACATTTATTTACATTATTCTTCAGCTGTGAAATCATCAGATAACTGCTACATTAGCTAAATACTTATGTAGACAAACCTTGGCAATAGTGGTATAGGTTGAGGTTGGGCAAATGGCATCCCAGAAGACATCAAAGGCATTGTAGGTGGAGCCAGGAGTCCTATTCTTGGGCCAGAGTTCAATTCTTCAGCCCCACTGCTGCCTCGCTTGTCTACAGAGCAGGGCATACCCTGCCAGGGTGGTTAAATTCTCACAACAATTTCATAAGAAATGACTTCTTTTTTTTTTTTTAGTACTGGGAACTGAACTCAGGTCATTGCGCTTGTAAGGCAGGTGGTAGAACCACTGAGCTAAATCCCCTGCCCAAGAAATGACTTCTTAAAGCCTACTTTATAGATGAGGAAGCCAAAGTTGAGAGAAGTTGGGAAGGTACCCAAGGTATATAGCTACCATGGAACAAAGCCAAAATTAGAATTCAAAGCTCAAGCTCAAGCCCAAGCTGGGCCCCTATTTTCTTCCTGGAGGTAGAGCTTCCCATGGCATAGGCCACAAATTGAGAAGAAAATTAAATAATTTTCCTGTTAGTTAATGAACGTGTAACATTTTAAATTAATTTTGAACTTTCAGTTACCCAAATAACTGATAAGATATAAAAATCTTCAACATTTTGTGCTATGCACAAATGTAAAGTTTCTACTTGTACTATGTTATTAATGATCTGCCCCTGATCTCTCTGGTTTTCCAGCAGTCAAGGATAGTAGATTGAAACCCAATTGACCTGATCTTTCTGATTTCTTGTTGTCAGTTTGGGATTAGTAACACTAAGAATGTAGGTAAACTATCACTAAAGCATTGGGCTACATGTTTATATAGTTGACAAGCTGTCATTTGGTACTCTAGATCTCCCTACTTGGCAGGTAACAAGGGGCCTCACTATGCTAAATCATGTAAGTTCAAGTGCAAGTTTAAGGTTTCTTTGGCAAATGAATCTCCTGTGGGTTAATATTTCAGTCTTCAGAGATCTGGATATTGGAGACAGCAACCTACTTATTTGTTTTAAATTTAGAAAAGGATTTGAAAGTTCTGCTTTACAAAACAGATTACTTGCTTGAAAGTTATTTTTCAGAATCCAATAAAAATCTAGTATTTTTGAGCCTAACATGGTATTTAAAATAATCCAAAGCTTGAATTATCTTCTCCTTACCATCTTCCCACTCCTATTTGCTACTTTTCTTCATACAAACAGGTTTCCTCCTCTTCCCAGGACCCATTGAGTCAACACAGAAGTTGAAACCACCATACAATTTTAAATTCATGATGCATGTCTTGATTTACTGCCACCAAACTGGAAAGAGTACAAGTGATAGGCAATAATGTTTACTGAGGCATTCTAGGATGCTCTTTTTTAGAAAGAAGAGACTGGAAATGGATTCCATTTTAAATACTGCTTAACATGCTGCTAAACTGGAAAACAGTTGTGCTGGAAATGTCAATACGTAGGGAAAGAGTCTTGAAAAGTGTCAAAATGATCATCCTGCTCTCTTTCCCATGCACCAAATGGAGGAGCAGATTAAAACACAAAGAAGAGAATCTTTCCAACTGATTTGTAGGCTGCATCTATTCATATGTAACTAAGAACCCCTGCGATCTAACTCTCTCCCCTCTTTTCTGATGGGAGTGATCTCGGTAGCCTAAGGAACACGAGCCAGCACTGAGGCACTTGCACCATCTGCAGAACAGTTGCAGGGTCTGAGGCTTCAGTGCCTTGAGGAACTTGACATCATCATAAAAGGTAAATCTGCATAAGGGCAATTTATATGTTCCAAGTGAGTTGTGAAGACAACCGGCACAGTTACTAAGAGGAGGAAGTGGCTGAGCAAAGAAGTAGAAAAGGGCCTCTGAGGTGGGAGGGATGGCACTGAGTGTACACAGAAGAAAAAGAATTATACAGGAACTGTTCAGAGCAGCAGATAAACCAGGCGTGGTGACTCACGCCTGTAATCCCAGCACTCCAGGGGCTAAGGCAGGATCACTATGAGTTTGAAGTCAGCCTGGGCTACGTAGTGAATTCAAATTCAGCTTGAACTGCATAGCAAGACTTTGCCTCAAAACTAAAACAAACAAACAAAACACAAAAATAGAGCAACAGATATGTGAGTGCTCAGGTATACACAAGCTATCTCTCAACCTTTACAAGTTTATGAGTTTGGCACAGAAGTTGTTTCATTGTAAAGATGACAAGGCTCATAAGATTCAGTGATCATAAAATGACAAGGTTCGTAAGATTACGTGGACTTGTTAAGGATACAGCTTACCAGAGTGTTGAACTAGGACAAAAGTACTAGTCCTCTAGCTTTAGCTGGTACTCACCCTTTTTCTGTGCCATTCTGCCCAAGACTCTTCAATTTGCAGTTTAGACTGATGTGGCTATTGGCGGTAAAGAGGTCATTTAAGGGAGTAATAGGAGGAAACTTAGCAAGAGAGAGTCTGGAGCCAGATCTTGGAGGGCCAGAAGCCAGGAAATGACTCATGTGAAATGAATGCCTCCTCACTGGTGGGTTAAGGCATCCTTGGTCAAATGCTCCAGGAGAGTATAACACTCAGAGATTTTTATGTATTTGAGATCGCCACTGATTGCCACTGGATATTCTTAGCCTAACATTACTGTGAGCGAAGCTGTTTGGGAGAAAGAACTTCTCCATGATTATATATTGTCTGAAATTCCTAATTGTGTACAACCACACCGAGGAGACTAGAAGAGGCTTTGAGAACTCTTAAAGTCCATTCATATCATGGTCTGCCTGTGGATTGTAAGGGTCCACAGCAAAGTATGAGAGGAATGGGTATGGACTTGAAATTAAAGAGGCAGGCAATTATCAGTCACCCAGCATCTGGCCAGCTGAGTGTAGAAACCTATCTAATTATGTTCTGGGTATGGGCTTATTCTAAATTAAGGTTAAGGAATGCAAATCATCAACAGTAATCTTTTTCTGTTACCTTTCCTTTCACAGTTTTATGTTTTCACTTAAACATGTTCATTTTGTGTATTTCAAAAATATCGTTATGAGCAAAGAATCAGAAAGGAAAAACTAAAATATGTCAAATTAAAATAAAACTCCTTTGAGCTATTCTCTGAAATCCCACATAGCTAACTAAAACAAACTAAACATATCACCATCATATCTTTTTAGAGATACCTTTAAAAAATATGAGTCAATGAATAAATTTAGAGAAATTTTATTACTTTTTTCCTTGGGAAATTGTACTTCTCAAACATTTCCTACTCACTGAGTTCAACTGAACAAGCATCTAAGCATAAATAGAAAATGAACTGGAGTATGTCTATTTAAAATATGAGTAAACAATGATCTGAGAAAGAAAACAAATTTGAAAGCTTTATTTCTGACAAGCTTTTTAAATGTTTCACTCAAAAAGGCTTTTGAACATCTTTTAATTTTCATGATAGTGATTTATCATGCACAGCAAATTTGTAGCAGGGAAAGGCTGAAAATGTCAGTAAACACATCTGACAGAGGAAAAACAACAGCAAGGTGAAGGTAGGACCAAATTTCTTGACAGTTTTTCATAAAATATTTGGAACAGATTAAAAGCATGTTGATTTCCCCTGTGAAAAATGCCAAGTAAATAGCCACTTCAAACTTCAGGAACAGTTTGTGATCCTGGGTGGGTAAATAGAGAAGTAGATGACAGATGTTTGAATATGGTCAAATGCAAGGAATCATTTACAAAAAAAAATTTATAGAGGCTGTCTCCTAGCTCAGCGATGAGTCAACAGTGAATAGATGATGTTCATTGCAGACATCAGGCTGGTGAGTTATTTGGGGGTCAACAAGTTCATCAAGGACCTGATCGCCATCAGAATACAATTTTACATCCTTCCAAGAATGAACAGGTTCATGCCCGCCTGTTTGTGGAGTGTGGCGAACTGTCCAATTCTGATTATCCAATTAGGATTATAAAGATCAAAATGAGAGAAGGCAGAAACATGTTGAACTGTGGTTACACATCAGGTCATCATGATACTCCAAATAGGCTTGCAAAATAAATATTCCTGTGCAGAGTTCACAAATAAGAAAACTGAGACCCAAGGGGTAATGAAGGTAAATAATGGAAATGAGTAGAAACACCTAAAACAAAAGCGGCCTGTCCAAATGTCCCTCTTTGGTCTTAATTATGCTAATTGTCTAACAGCAGAGTCTTGTAGTTTAGGTTTCAGTCACTACCTGCCCTCCCTTGCAGATAGTATCTTTGGATTTCGCCCAGTGGATCTAATACTGTGAAGTAATATTTACTTGTTCTCACTCACCTCCAGCTGATCACTGCTCCCAAGGTTGAGAACAACATGTATGTGCAGCAGCGAGATGAGTATCTGGAGAGTTTCTGCAAGATGGCCACCCGAAAAATGTCTGTGATCACCATCTTCGGCCCTGTCAGTAACAGCTCCATGAAAATCGACCACTTCCAGCTAGGTTCTCTTAAGAATTTTAATTTTGTTTTGTTTTTTTCATATATAAGGTGGGACAAATGTTATGGGAGGGGCCTGTGAGGGATCAAAGGGAACGTTCTGATATCTGAGGTCTCCCTGTGACTGTACAGGTCAGTTGGCCTACTTACTTACGTCACAGTTCCAGGCAGGTTCTGGCTTATGTTTTCAGCCCTTTAAAGCAAAGGATATGCAAGCACTTTATTCTTGTCTGAAAGTCAGTAAGGTAGAGGAACATAAGAAAGGTAACACAGTGTTGCAAGAATCCAGCCCCTTATTGCCTGATCTGCCCGCAGCCCTTAAACTGCAGGTGACTCATCACAAATGGGGACCTGCCAGACCCCTGGAAGTACTTGACTTTGGCAAGCCTGAGTGGGGAAGTAGCCAGAGTTGAGCGAGGCTGTTAAGCTAAATGAAAAGTCACCAGAAATATGGTCTGAACTGCTCCCAAGTCTTTTTGGGAAGCAGAAGAATTTGGCTGAGTTTAGAATTTTCACCATTTTTTATATTAATGATGCATGTGAAATTCATGAGGCCCATGGCCCAGCACGGGCAGCTCAGATCTAACTCATCGCTTTCCTCATGGGAACCTGGAAGACTTCTACGATTACTTAAGCCTCACAGTTAGAAGGCCAAAATCTGACCCACTCCACTTCATCATTATTCGATCTTTGAAAATTTATTTTTTAGCCTTTTTTTGCAGTCATTCTCAGCTTTGCTGTTATTTAACTATAATGAAAATCCTTCAGGGTAATTCTTCATATTTCATCACTTATATATCCGGCATTTTATTCATAACATGCTTTATGTGAAAACATCTGCAACGATATAAAAATACTTTTTCTAAACTGGCCGTGGTGTGGTGTGCTTGTAATCCCAGAACTCAGGAGGATAAGGCAGGAGGATCACTGCAAGTTCAAGACCAGCCTGAACTACATAGTGAGGCCCTGTCTCATGAAACAAAATAAAACTGTCCTCCTCTCTCTCTCTTTCCCTTATCTCTTCCCCTCTCTCTCCTTCTCTCTCTCTCTCTCTCTCCATCCATATATATATGACATATATGTGCTATTAATAGGATATGTTAATATATGTCCTATTAATATTTAAATTCAACACATATGATGTCTCATATTTTTTCTGGTATATAATCTTGAGAAAAATAAATATAATAGCCATAGTTATATCATGGCAATGTTGATTTGAATGTATTTTAGCTTTTTTAAAAACTATACTATTTCTTTATTTTGTATTATGGTAAAAACACTTAACATATGATCACCTTCCTGAAAATTTTTCAAGTTCAAAACATAGTGTTGTTAACCATAGGCACAGTGTTATACAGCAGCTATCTAGAATTTATGCAGATATTAGTTTTCAATTATATATTCTCTGTTTTTAAACTTACTTTCCCATGAAAGGACTATGAAGGAAAACTAAATAGCTTGTTTTCCCATGTCCATCATAAATCACTGTGGATTAGTGGCTGATTTGTGCATAAGAAGAAAAAGAAAAAATATTTTCTTTAATCAAAACCACAGAAAAAAATCATACAAACAAAAGTTACAAAAGAAGTAGGCAAACAGATCCAAACCCAGGTTCAAAACCATATATATTTGTTTTGTGACCTTGGCAAGTTACTGCTTATGTCTTATTTTAAAGAGAAAAACATCTATTTCGCAGACTATGGTGAGGATTAAAATAAGAAATGTCTATAAAAACCCATCTCATTGTGGGATGACTGTCACCACCATTTGATCTGGAAGGCATCTGGAGGATTAGTGAGAAATTATAGTTGTCACCAATGCACTTGCAATTGCAAAATAATTATGGCTGTTTATGCTAATTTCAGAATGGTGACACATGAAGCCTCACAAATCCTCTTCCAAGTCAGACCATTACTGCTCTTTGTAATAAAAGTGAAGCCCAAGATACTAATACTATAAAGTCCCATATTTAATGGTTAACAGGGATTCAACCATTTGTTTCCTGGTTTTCCACAGAGCAGCATGAGCCAATGGGCTTAATTTTACTCCAGATATCTAGCGAGGAAGTTGGTATTCAAACCTGAAGAGGGACTGGTGTTGGCTGGTGATGAAAGTCTTCCTCTGGCAGGTGTTTCCAGTGTCAAATGTGCTACCCACCAAGTCTTCCATGAAGTATTTCCATTCCTTACTTCACAGAAGGGGAAAAGTCATTATATCTTCCACCTCAACCTCTATATGGTCCTATTGTAAGCACCTGGTGCTGCCTTGGCAAATTTTTTGCATAGCACCGCTATTTTCTAGACATCTGGATTGCATATGAACTATAGGGAGGCTAAGGTTTTCTCTTCTACATTATTGGAACTCAGGTATTGTGATTTGGATGTTTGCCTCACTGAATGGTAGCCTGGAACTGATGTGAAGTGGGTGTGGACTTTACTGTGTTCCTCATCTAATTCCTGGAAGGCCTTTCTCTCCTCGTGTTGTGTCCCAGATTACCCTTATGGGAAGGGCTGTAGCAGTCACAGCCAGGACTGGGAGTCAGCCATGGGAAAATAAGAATTGGCATGAACCATGTTCTCAGTGAACCAAACCCCAACCTTGTTTGATTTTCAGCTGGAAATCTATCTGATGGCCTTACTTATCCTCAAAAATAAATCAAGCACTCCCTACTTTTCCAGATTTCTTAAGTGGATCTTAAAAGTGGATGCCTATATCCAAATACCATGTGAGCAATATTCATCAGCTGGTCCATCTCACTGAAAGTATTTGGGTCATCAATGAGGAACCTAAAAACACCAGGAATCATACCTTAACTTTTAGGGAATCAGTCTAGATAAAGTTATTTATGCTTGAGCAAATTCTAGCACCCATCTGATTTTGTCATAAAGGAGTATATTACATGTAGGAGTTTAAAATGGCATAATACATATTCATTATTGTTAATAATATTTAAAAT